AGACTGCCTTATTTTGTGTTTAGCAAAGAGTCAGTTTGTGGCTCAGCCTCTGGGTGGCAGTGTTCTGGGGTTGGCCTCTGAGGCTATATGGCTTCTCTATCGCACCTAAAACTGATTTGGAAAGGTCAACTATCCAGAGCTGGTTCCTTAATAGTTACCCGCTCTGTGTTGTTGCTGGGATTCTAGATAGGATTGTTTATATTTTTACAGTATCAGTGAAGCTTATTGAAAAGGCACGTTAATCTGAGAGCATAACTTTGAGGGGATGTGCTGAGGGTGTCTTCAAAATCAGCTATAACCAACTAACTTGTTCATTCATATGTTTCTTATGGTCAGTTTGGTTTTTGCTTAACTCTGACCCATTTTCTTTACTTTTTGTTTTACAATATATTTTTATTGATTTCAGAGAGAAAGGGAGAGAGAATCACATCAGTGATTAGAGAGAATCATTGATCAGCTACCTCCTGCATGCCCTGCACTGGGGATCAAGCCTGCAACCTGGGCAAGTACCCTGACCAGGAATCAAACCATGACCTCGTGGTTCTTGGGTCAATGCTTAACCACTGAGCCGCGCTGGCCAGGCCGACCCATTTTCTTTATGGTCTGTCCAAGTAAAATAGCCAAGGAGTAGATTTAGATTCAATTAACTTTATTTTGTAACAAGAATGATCCTAGCATTTAAAGATCTGCACTCCATACATTATGTCCTGTTGTCCTGGGAAAATTATTACTGACATGTCTTTCAGTCTCAAAAGAATCTTGTCTTAGAAGAGAAATTATGTGTCACCTTACAAATTAGATAGATATTGCTGATATCTTTTGTCTAGACCTTTTTCTTCTTAAATCCTGGAGAAATCTAAAGGCACTGGAATTTTAAGTAACTTACCCAAAGATATACAGCTGCTTAGTGGCAAAGCTAGAATTTACCCCAAGCATTTTGACTTAAGCTTTGGGCTTTTTCCAAGTAATTTTTGTTAATTTGTCAATTTTACAGGTTAGATTTTTAAATATTTGTCCTATAACCATATTCTTACTGTATTCTTGAATATCTTTATGTTTTTATAAGACATTTAGGGAAATTAAGAAAAAGTGAAACACACTAATTGTAGGAAATCTCCAAATGATGAGAAAGTGTTGGAAATATCATTACCAGCCAGGTGTTGAAAAGCATTAAGCTGGCAGCACATAGCACTGGCCAGTTTGACCTTATGGACTGAAATGTAAATTTGTCATGAATTGGCTGGCTTGTGCCAGAGATTATCATTTTACTGATCCTCTGACCAGATTTTTGGACTGATCACTCACATTTGATCCAGGTCTCTTGTATAGCAAGTTGAACTCGAGGCAAAAATTATAATTGTTTTTGTATTTGCTATCAGCTCTGAAAATCATATGTTGCTAGAAATTAAGATAGCTAACAAGAATAAGTTTTATTCAAGCTAAGTGGTAAATTTTCTTTTTCTGTGTTGGTTAGATTTTTCTAGATATGACATTTGGTTCAGGAGGACACACAAGAGCCATTCTGCAGAAAGAGCCAGATATTACTCTGTATGCTTTAGACAGAGACCCGACAGCTTATGCAATAGCTGAACAACTTTCAGAATTATATCCGTAAGTATTACTCTTGTATAATTATTTAATTCGAGAGCTAAGGTTTACAGAGCTTAGTTTACCACCTTGGAATTTCTTCTCCCTTGTATGATGTTATACTTCATTCCACTAAGTCCAGGATGGCGAATATCAGGCCCACAAGCCTTATCATTTATTCTGGCCCTGCCAAGGCATTAGGGGCAAGTTAATTAAATAGTTGACCAAATATAGAAGGCTAATTTTTAAGTTGATAATGTTATGTGGCCTGGGAAGGATGTTATAAATATCCAAATGGTCCTTGGCAGAAAAAAGGTTTTCCACCCCTTCAGTATTTCCTGTCCTTTATTGCCCCAAAGAATTAAAGTAAATTATGTTTCTAGTACCACTTAAAATAATGATATTATGCATTTATTATTTCTGAATTAATAAGAATAAACACTATAATGACTTTTGGCTAAAATTTGATTATATGCTGAAATCTAACCATGAATAATATTTTGACAACCCATAGTTTAAAAAATAATTTTATGAGTTACAATTTCTAAGAATTTAGTGGCATAAATAAGTATGTGAGAATTCTGCAAAACTCATGAGGTTACTTACATCAATATAGTGCAGTTGTTTTCTCTGAATGCAATTTGAAATTCACAGGAAAATTTAGAGTTTTCTGTTAACTCTGTTAGAATTAGTGAGTTTTCACTATAGAAATTTTTAAAAATATAAAATATTGTTGATGAAACCATTTTCCTTTAGAAAAAAATTTAGAATTAGTGTTATGTACATATGCTATGTTGTTTAAAGGCCACCAGCCTGAAAAACAAAACTATCTTGGAGTTAAGATGACTATCTCCAAATATTATCTAAAGGGCTATTACCAGGAAGGGGGACTTGTTCTATTGTCTCAGGCTCTAGAGATTGTAGTAAAGAGACATGGAATCATCAAACAGACTATGAAACCTCAGAGGGAAGGCACGGGAGGGTGGTTGGGAAGAGATCAATCAATGAACTTATATACATATATGCATAACACATGTCCACAGACAATAGGATGGTGAAGGCCTGGGGGTGGGGGGGTATGGTGGCAGGAAGAGGTCAATGGAGGGAAAAAAGGGAAATATGTAATATTTTCAACAATAAAGATTAATAAAAAGGAAGGAAGGAAGGAAGGAAGGAAGGAAGGAAGGAAGGTCCTCTTCCTGGATACTGTTGTCTTATCACAGTCTCCTATACTTACCCACACAAGAAAGGAAGAAAGGGGGGAAGGGAAAGGAAGGGAAGGGAAGGGAAGGGAAGGGAAGGGAAGGGAAGGGAAGGGAAGGGAAGGGAAAAGGAAAGGAAAGGAGGAAGGAAGAAAAAATTCATGAGGATATCAAAGGTAAGTTTTGATTTGATGTAAACTAGAGTTTTTAGTAGTTGTAGCTCTTTACTATGAGAAGTTCTCTGGTGAAAGCATACTGGTAAGTATGAGCATGGAAAAGCTTAATCACAGACTAAGGATAAAAATTGGATTACTATTTTAGAATAATCTTTTTCAACCGCTTTCAGGTCTCAAACACTTTGCAAATCTATTAGTGTGATTTATTCTCCCAATTAATATGTAAAATATATACATTTTTTGTCTGCAAGATCACATCTGATTATTTTAATCCCAGGTTATTTTCTTCTAAGAAACAGATTAGGAAGTGACTTAATGGCATGGTACTTTTTTTTTTTTAATCTTTCACTGTCATTCTTCAATGTAACTTAGATGCACCTTCTTTAAGACTTATAGTAGGGCATTCATGTTTGTGAAATATCTTAGGAGTCCATTTGTAGAATGAGTGTAGCTCTCCATTGTATTTCACTATCATAGATAAATAGAATTTTCTTATATTTTATTGTTTCTAATGGCAATGATTCCTAGTCCAGTTGATCCAAGTAAGTTACTGATGTAAAGTACAGCATAGGGAATATAGTCAAATATTGTAATAACTATGTGTTGTGTCAGATGGGTACTTGAATTACTGGCCGGATCACTTTGTAAATTATATAATTTTCTAACCACTTGGTGTACACCTGAAATAATATAAGATAATATTAAAAGTCAGTTGTAGCCCATGCTGGTTTTGCTCAGTGGGTAGAGCATCAGCCTGTGGACTGAAGGGTCTCAGATTTGATTCCGGTCAAGGGCACATGCCCAGGTTGCTTTGCGGGCTTGATCCCCAGTAGGGGTTGTGCAGGAGGCAGCCAATCAATGATTCTCTCATCATTAATGTTTTTATCTCTCCCTCTCCCTTCCTCTCTGAAATCAATAAAATATCTTTTAAAAAGTCAGTTATAAATGAAAAAAGTCAAATGATAATTTTCAAAGAGTCAAAATATATGAAAAAATGAAAATAAAAGCCCCAAAGAAAATTGATGATATTGCATACACAATCTGAGAGTAAGAAACTTTAAATCAACATTAGAAATTATAAATATGTAAAAGTAAATAAAATATCTAACTATGTAACATTTTAAAAAATATATGGCAAAAGTAATATTGCAAAATATTAGTTCGTTTGGAAAAGAAATATTTGTCATTTAGGGCAAGCATGTCAAACTTGTGGCCCATGGGCCACATGCGAATATTTTTGTGGTCTAGCCAATACAACGGTATGTAAGAAACGTTTTTAATAAAAATTTCGTAACTTAACTTTTACAGTATCCTGTTATACATAATTATGAAGAACGAGCTACAACTTTCGCTAATGACTATTATAATCGTGTTGCATTCATTTCCTTTACGTGCCTTACGTGCAGGCGCACCATTTCTCTCCACTAATACTAACAGTGAATATTTTAGCAGCCGATTGCCACATTATTAGTCTTGTACTGACACGGTTGGTGTGCGCAATAGGAAATATTTTGGCCCGTGTTAGCCTTTGAGTTTGACATGCTAGATTTAGGGGATCGATAATGTAGGGGAGGAAAAATATAGTTTTCCTGTACTCTGCAACAAAAGACAGATTAAGATGAGAATAGCATTTTAAGTTGTGTAGTAAGTTTCACATGATAGGAGAGCCTTCATAAGTAAATGAAGACTGCAAGACATGTTTAAACTTCAGCATTTATAGTATTAGGTTTGATGAAGGGTGGAAAATTATGGAAAAATATGCAGGACAAAAGGCATGTGCTAAGTGTATAGTACACTGAGGGAAATATAGCAAGCCACATTAATTCAGATTTCTTTCCATCCCTTCACCTTCAGAGATAAGGAGACTTCTTTCCTCTGGGTACAGGGAAGGCATCTCTCACATGGTAGTTGACCTATTTCAGGGAAAGGTATAAAATTCTTCCTGTATGTGATGTTTCTCAAATTTCTTCAGCTTAATATATTCAGTATGCCAAGGTGCCATATTTTGATGTATTGTGTCCTGAACCCCATCAATATTATTATATAAGAATTCTTTCAGAATTGATAAGACAACAAAATTCAATTTGAAAAATGGACAAAAGATATAGAAGGGCCATTCGCAGAAGATATGGTATAAAAGGATTCTCCACATCAGTAGCAATGAGGGAAATGAAATAAAAAATAATGGTATATATAAATTCACTTCTCAGACTGGAAGGACATAATTTTGAAAGTGAGGATATGCAGAAAAGGATACGCATCCATTTTTCATAGACATCTTTTAAAATTAAAATAAAATACATAACCTGCTTAGAATCTATTCCATATAAATAAAAGAATCAATATCTAAGGAAAAAATCCTTAGACTTATTACAGACTTTGTATATTCATTGCTTGTATATATAATCATGGAGAAGTTGAGAAAGAAGGAATTTGTGGTACGGGGAGTGTGGAGGAGAAAACAATGGTTAAAAAAACAAACCTAGATAGGGTATAACCACATATTTGATATGTGTGTAAAGTAGAAAATTCCAAGCAATGCTATATATTATTTATGAATACCTACATATGTAGTTACGGTATAAAAATATGCATGAGAAAGGAAAACATAAATTTAGGCCAGGATTAATTTCTAGGGATAATGGATGGATATAGATGGTTGTTTGGTTGGTTGGTTGGAAGGATGGGCAGATTGGATAGATTATCTTCTTAAAAATCCATATCTAATTACAACCTATAGTAAAGTGCACAATAAAGGAAATATTTTGTCATTTCAATGTGAACATCTTTTGAGGAAATACAGTAATTTTTTATTTCATTTATTTATTTTGCTGTTGTCAAAGAGGAACTTATTCTTCTACTGAAAAATCTTATGTTCTTTGTCAAAATTTAAGTCAAAAATAGAAACTAACATTTTCACAGAAAACTAAGCAATTCATAGGAAGGCTGAATTTTAGGCTAACCCATTTTAGCTCTTTCAGAAAAGATGACATGTCAGATCACCTGTTGTTTAAAAATGGAAACTCTTCCCCATTGCCTCTGAAGATTGTACAAGAGGAAACACGTTTAAATTGGAGCAGTGGGGTGTTGGCTGAGTTTTACCACTGTGGAAAATGGATGTTAGATGACAATTTTTTAAAAACAACGTTTCCCATAAATTGAGAAATATTATATGCTTAGAGAATTTAGAAAATATAGCTACGTATGAAGAAAAAAAGTCATAATTGATTCCATCATTTGACTATAATTTTAAGCAGATTATAAAAATGTAATAAGCTATTTTCAGTAGTTTATGAAGTAGATGTGTTCATTGGGGTAAATTTGTAATATCTAGAAAAATATTGAACTGATTTCACCAACTTCATCAGTAGTAATGATTTTATTTATTTAATTGTCAATATTTCATTATACTGTATACTAGTACTAGAGGCCCAGTAAATGAATTCGTGCACAGGTGGAGTCCCTCGGCCTGGCCGGCAATTGGAGCCAATCAGGGTAAGTCGGCTGTCCGAGGGGAGGGACTGTGGGATGGTGGCTGGCCATGGGAGATTTGCCATGGAGCACACTGACCACCAGAGCACAGCTCTTGCATTGAGCGTCTGCCCCCTGGTGGTCAGTGCACATCATAGCTACCAGACAGTTGTCT